CACCGTCGGCGCGACCACCGAGACCGACACCCTCGCCGAGTACTCCAACTTTGGCGCCTCCGTCGACATCCTCGCGCCCGGCACCGACATCCTGAGCGCCTGGCCCAACGGCCGCACCAGGACCATCTCCGGTACCTCCATGGCCTCCCCCCACATTGCTGGTTTGGCCGCATACTTCCTCGGCCTCGGCTCCGCGCCCACGAGCCCCGTCGAGCTGTGCAGCTACATTGCCGAGACCGCGCTGGACGGCGCTGTTGGACAGGTCCCCCGCACGACTGTGAACAAGCTCGCGAACAACGGGTTTGCTAGCAACGGCACGGCCAAGGCTGTGAACGGCAGCAGGGTGATTGCGAGGCAGGTGAACAAGAAGTTCAACCTCCGCCACGCGCTCTCCAAGACTACCCTTCTGTAGATGAAGTGTGGTAGTGTATTTGGAGTTTAGAAGAAGCCTTTCACTTGTGGCGCTGGAGTAATTTCCTGGTCAAGGGCGGGAGCGTCTGGTGCTGGATGAGGCGGTAGCCGGCTTGGGGTCTCGGGAAGGGTCCGGCCTGTGATTATTTTTCAACTATTTCTGTGTACATTAGATTTCAATATGTGTTCGAGAAACGTACAGATGAGTGTGAACATACCATAAGAGATAAGCTCATTGAAACCATGAGGTCTGCCTAGAAACTTGATGTCGTCGTAGGAGCCAAGATGGGAGGATCGCGTTCTGGTCATCAAAAGCATGTGCACATGGATTTCTACACACGTATCCTAAATCACGAGCTCAATGCCGACTTGGCCGCCTGTTGGCCTGCTATCCTTCCAAAAACCACGCACTCCAGCAGTGATGATCCTCCAAGCCTGTTGTCGCCGTGGATACCACCAGTGATCTCACCTGCTGCCCAAAGACCTTCGATGGCAGTGTTGTTCTCGCGCAGCACCTGGGCTTTCAGGTTGAATGAGGCACCGCCCATGGTGAAGTGGGTAATCGGCGTGACCCGGCCGACGCAAACTTCTTGTTCGCGGTTGCCCTCCCCGGCTTTCAGCCTCCACCGACCGAACGTCCGCCGGCCGAACGCCGTGTCCGTTCCGGAGGCTACCAGGGCCGAGTACTCGTCAACAGCCTTGATAATTTCCGGGCTAAGATCATTGACCTTCTTCTTCTCCATCAAGCCCTTCCAGAGGTAGAAGCCCAGATGTCCCTCGGCTACCTCAATCGCACCAGGGTCCATAAGCAGAGTCACGTCCCACTGCCTCGTCTCGCTGTTCTCCTTTGGGGGCACCGCCATGATTGCCTTGCTGACATGCTCTCTCGTCTCCATCTCGTTGACGAGTCTCTCGCCCTTGTCTGAGAGAAGAATGCCACCTTCACCGCGGAGGACCTCGGCTGCGAGGAACTTGTACTGCGCCTCCGGGTCCTTGGGGTCGACGAAGCCGGTGGGGTGTATTTGTACGCTATCCATGTCGACAAACTCTGCGCCGACGGCTTCGAGGATGCCGTGCGAAGCAGGCCGGGCCTCGTTTGTTGATGGGAGACCCGCAAGGTCTGGACGGTACTTGGCCAAGAGACCGTTTGCGTCACCCGCGAAACCTCCGACGGCGAAGACGACGGCTCCTTCGAGGTCATGTTGCTCTCCGTCCTGGGTATACTGAACGCCCTTGACGACTCCGTCTACGACCTTTAGTGACGTGACCTCTGCAGAGTTATTGAGTCGGAAATTGGGGTTCTCGCCAAGCTTCTTCAATAGAGTCGTCACGATGGCCGCTCCAGGAGGGGTCTTGCCCGCTCCGCGGTGCGTTCTTGCCATGGAGTGTCCTCCCAAAGGCGCAACGACACTCAAGTCGACACCGATGTCGTCAACTAGCCAATCCACTGCCCCCCCGGAGCTCTTTGTCAATAAATCAACAAGCCTCGGCCGATCAACGACTCCTTTGGCCTCCTTGAATCGCACGCCGCCAGACTTGATCGTGTCTTCATAGAAAAGGTCATCCTTCCTCAAACCAAGGGCCTTCTGGAACCGCGTCCCTGCGCCGTTGATACCGGACGATGCTTTCATGCTGTTGCCGCCTGGCTTGGGCGCGCGGTCGAGCATCTGCACGGAGGCGCCGGCCTTGAGAGCCTCGTGGGCGGCAGACAGACCGGCTAGGCCGGATCCGACGACGATGACGGGCTTGTGAGATGCCATTCTGAATGTGGATGAAAAGTGCGATGTTTGATGTGTGAAGATGTTTATTGCGTTTGTTAGTGGGCGGTGGTATAGCATGCCCAGTATGGCTGCGATGATGCCGAAGATGAGGGTGAGGACGAAGCGCCGGATGGGTCGGATGAACATTTCCGCTGGAGAGCGTCAGGTTAGAGATAGCGACTGTGTTTGGCGTGAGATATATAGTGAGGTCTCATGGCCATGAAATCCGGGGCACGGTGGATATTTTGGGGGCTGGTCAGGCGATTCTGGGAGTCGTACGATGGGCCGATGGGAGCGGGAGACGTGTCGAGGTGGCACGATTCCATTCCCAGGTGGGGCTCGGTGAAGTGGAATGCCGGACCTAAGGGCTCGGTGAGTGCCGGTGAGTGCCGGTGAACACCCGAAATTGTTTGAGGGAAGGAACGCCCCCAGTGAGCTCTTGCCTCGACGAATGGAAGGTGGCAATACAGTCATTCCTTCTTGAGAAACAAAACTACGCAAATTCAACGTCAATCTTCTCCGGTTACATCCACACCATCAATTTTCAACCGTCAACCATCACAACCTGCCGACTCCATTCCTCCATCTCGACATCTACGAGGTCCTCTTTCACCGCCCCATCATCGTGGCAAGGTCTCCAACGTGCCTCATTCTTCTCAATCTCCTGCATAGGCCATGACAAGAGGCCGTGATAGACCTCCCCGATGCTGTTCACGACTGTTCTAATGATCATCTCAGGCCATCCTCGAAGCCACCAAGCACGCTCTATGTCGATGCCTTTCAAGCAGACAGCCCAATGTGCCATCAACACCAAAGCCAGAGGGTCTTTCGCTGTCACGAGCTCGATATACGGGGATGGAACCATGCCCAGCCACATACACGCGACATTGTATGACCCTCGCGCGGCAGCTACCCTTCGAAGTGCGACCTGCAACTTCTCCCCGGCCTGCAACAGTATGTCGCGCCTTATGACCTCGGCATAATCCAGACTGCGGACAACCAGTAGGACATTTTCGACCGATTTCTCTGCGTCGAGCCACGGTAGCTCGTTGGTGAGGGACGTGAATACCGTCTTCCGAATTTGCAGCGCTGGGCTGCCTTCTCCGACGCGAAGGCCCCTGCATCCCATTCGAAAGAGAGCAACCACCCCCTGAAAGAGATTGGCGATCCTCGACAGCGCTTCAACTTGATCCTCCACACCGAAGACGCCGGTGTCCATCACCGGCAGTGCAAACTCGCAAGCCACCAGCAGACCTGCGGCCGCCATTCCGGACTCGCAGCTCGAGGGCGTCAGAGACGAAGCAAGTGCAGGCCGGAAAAGCTCCAGGGTCGAGGCCTTATACTTCAATGCTGTCAAGACGTGCGGAGCTGAGCCATTTCCGAACGCCCGGGAGTAGACGGATGCGAGATGAGTCGCTGAGAAGGCTAAGACAACCTGGTTCACGTACGCCTCGGTCAATACGTGTCGGGTCACGGCTTGGCGAAATGCTGGCACGATGTCCCACTTGTCGACCGAGCCAAACGACAAGGATGCTAGATGACCAAAGTAGTGGTGAAGTAATAGCTGCTCGGTCGGATCTGAGCTGGGTAACCCCGTGGCCCCGAACCTCGGAGGCGACCGGTGGATGCCGCCAATTTCGGCCTCGGGGGTGTTCTGCCGCTCCCCCTCGGCCGACGACAAGCTCCCGGCTCGGACTATGAGATGTGCATCGCCGGCTGGTCGCCGCTCAAATGCATCACACGGGGAGAGCAAATGGCGGTACGTGCATGTCCGACCTTTCTTGCGGCAACGCCCACAAGATGGCTGACCTTCGTCACACTACAGGCCCGTCAGCTATGCCCAATCAAATCTTCGGGACAATTACCTTTACTCTCCCCGTCTTGCACTGGATGCAGCCATGGTGGGAGTTGGAGTGCCCTCGTCTAGAAGGCATGATGGTCTCAAGTATCGCCTTTGGGCCAACGCGTCAAATCCGCACCTCTGCTATGAAGGATCAAGATGAAGATTATCGTGAAAACATACATACGCCACTGTTGCCGAACAAAGGGGCTGAATCCTTCCAGAACACCTTATCGACGCCACGTCTTTGACAGGGCGACCAATTCCTTCGGACATAGGCGATGTTGCCTCCTCCATAGCACTTGGCCGCTCCAACCTTCTGTTCCAGCATCACGTCTTGGTAGGCGCAACAGCACAGAATGTGTGACCGGTTTGAATCCGAGACTCCAAGTCAGGCGAGTTGAATACGAGATCGCGAAAAGGGGCAAAGGTGGTCTTACGAAGTTTGTGCATCTGGAAGGATACGGCGTGGTACTTGTGATGACGGACGCGATCGTCTGCAACACATCATCGGTCAAGGTGCCAGAGTGGTTAATGGGCTGCCCTGCTATCGATTCTTCTGATACCAGCTTAGGCAGTGGCTTCGGTCGCGCAGGTTCAAATCCTGTCCTTGACGCACAGCTTTTTTGGCCCCGTCACGCATTTCGTTCCCTCGTTTGATGCTCACGAAAAACATTATACGGTCGCGAGCAAAAGTTTTTTGATTCCGCGACGGGCGAATATACTCTTTTGGGTTTCTTGCATCTGGAACAGCCCGTCCTCTTCGGTTCGTCCGGAAGGAACACGATTCGGAGTCAAATGGCCAATATTGGGAGCAGGTCCAATTCGGGAGAATAGCTGGCGAGGCAACCACGCAACTAATAGTCTCGCTCACTCAAGGCCTGCATACCTGCACTCCCATTGGACATTGTGGAAGGATTTGAAAACTGATACAGATGGCCCAGCAGAAACCGTACAGCTCAAGGGTTCAAGAGATGCAACTAAAATGAAGCACACCGAGAATCCAAAAGTTCTTACAGCGGCATCGCAGGCGATCTTCATTTCCTGTCGCAGAGGCCATAGGCCCTGTACGACAGGCAGCCCAGGCCTGGTTCACAACGCGTGCGTCGGATTCAAATGGAAATAACACTGGCAAATTGGCTGTCAGCAGGCCAGCCGTGAGGGGCGCATCAGCGCTACGAAACATTGCAAGCTCACCCTGGGGAACCAAATTTTGCCATACAAACCGTCTGCAAACCACCATGTGCTGTCGCAACGCCGCCAGCCTGCAGGACGCCCATGGATAGTTCAAACTCTGGCTGATGCCGAGTTATCCGGTGGTGATCGTTTGCGCCTCCCTTCTTGGCATCGACTCCCGCCCCTAGACCTGCAGCCAGCAACGGATAAATACGGTACGCCTGCTGGAAAAGAGTCCAGGATTCCAGAAGTCGTCTGCTCACTGGGCAGATGTGAAGTGGTAGGGGGTCAGGAAACGGACCGTATGCCCGGACAAGGCATCCCGGAGCAAGTAGACAATCGGGCGACGGCTGCGCATCGCGTCTCACAAGCTCTCGTCCTATTATCAGACGGCAATGGCATCGAGCCTTAATGGTCCCCTAACAACGAGTTCATCCGCCTCGGTAACTTTCAGTTTGTCGCAGAAAAGGAGCCCTGCCCGGAACGACGCCAGCAATGGCTCCTCAACAGCAACAAAAGGTTGAGCATCCGCCCTCAACGATATATGCTCAAGTGGAACGATTCTTACCCAAGAGGGAGGCTGTTCGGAGAAATGGAAGCTGCTTGGTTGCTTGGCTTCCCTCTCAATGGTGTCGTGCAGGGCCCTGCAGCCAGCGGTGCCGCCCTAATACGCCACAAAATGGGCGGCTGCAATGGGCGACCCGCTGCACAACGTGTCCCGAGCCTTGTAGCCCTTGGCAATACGACGCCAAAGTGTGTGCTTTCAGGGGACTTTCGCGGAATTTTGCTGGCCAGTTCAGGGTTTGTCCGTTGCGATTGCGGCCTTGGCTGATCGGGAGGGGGTGAATGAGCGGCCACGGTAGGCCCTTGGCATCTCGGACTGCTGACCTGCGCCGTTTTCTCTCTGGAAACTTCGGCTTTCGCTCGAGCCTCAATCATTGGCATCGCGGGCCAAGGGACTAGGCATCGATGATCTATCCGTCAAAACCCGTGTCACCACGGCTTGTTCGGCTCGACGATTAAAGAAGAGCCGGACAAAGAAGGAAGGGCACGGATTTCTCCCATCGACCAAGTTCAAACCGCCGTCTGTCCAACGATGGCGACACGGGGTCGAGACATGTGGTGGTCAAAGGCGGGCAATCATTCAAAACGCTCCTCTTTCAGAACATGGTTGGTCGAAGTGATGTTCAGCGTTTAGTTGCATACGCATCATGCTGGCCTGCCCCGCTGTCATTACCAACTCAATCTGTCTGCCATTTGGAATTGAGACACGGGTTCAGTCCAGTTCGCTCGCGCTGGCTAGCCATCTTGCCGCCTTCCTTTCCGCCGTCACTCAGTAAGGCATCTGCTAAGACGTGCAGCCCGTCTCTTGCTAAAGTCACTAGCGACAACTGCCCGGCAGCCCAAGATCAAATAGCCAGTCCGACAGATATGCCCGCCGGTCGTAGCGCCGGCAACAATAATTCGCTGATGTTCAGAGCGGCCACCTGTGCAGGTGATGTCGCTCAGTGGGCCGATCATCCCACGGTGTCGGCGGAAAGGGGCAGTGATGGGCGGTCTGGCGTGATGTCAGCGCTCCCGAACTGGAACAGCATCCCACCTCGGCGGTGCGTGATAACAATCAACCTGGCGCGGCGTTCGTCAGAACAGGAGACTCCCAGAAAACCGAGGCAGCGGCCTGATTTGAAGCAATCGCAAAGCTGGCATCGATTCTAGACAGTGAAGTCGCGCCAGAACCCTCTGCTGCGCAATTTTCATCGCAGAATTGGCCCGCCGACTTTCAGGTGGCTGTCGAGGTCTGGTGGGCCGGAGCTAGCTGTGAGCTCAGCAGCCATTGATCAGTGATCACCAACGTGAATGATGAACAATGGCGGCATCGCCCAGGCAGAAACCGACACGCTACGGACCAAAGGGAACGGAGACTCCAGCGTGGAGACAGGCTACGTCGTCGCCGGCTTTCCAACACCGTGACGCTGGTGCAGTCTGGGGTAATAAACTTGACCGTGACCACGAGATCCGGGGAAAGGCAGACAAGCCCACACGCAGCGCTAGATATCCATGACATGGAACACCCCAAGCCAGGTTCTAGAGCGAGCTGGGAGCTCATTCTGAAGTTCGTCCGGCCTGGCGCCATCATCGGACCACAAGCCGGACAGCGACGGCTGCCCCGTTACTTGCATAGATCGCGGCAGCCAGGCGTGTTGCAGCCACTGAAGCTTTCCCCGCACTCGACCGCCATGTGGTGTTTGGTTCGCTCCTTTTGAAGAGGTCGATGTCGGGCTTGATCTTCACGGTCACGCTTGGTTGGCAGTGTCATCATGACGCTTTGGTGGCCCTTGGCCTTTCAGCGATGGCGTCAATTCTACGGGGTGTGAGGAAACATGGGATAGATGGAAGCCTTTGAGACGAGTTCTTGAACAATATCGAAAGGCTGGCATTCGCCCCAACTGACAGTAGTTGACCTCATGGATGGAATTGGAGCACGCGTAACGACATGGAATTCACCTTCCAATGAGACGAAACAACATACGTTCTTGGCCTCGCGGAGCGTTTGGGATACTGCTAGTCGACCCCAGATTCCCCGCAGCTTCCGCGCAATGACACGAGCCGACTTTCGAACAGCTACCGCCAGCATGACCAGATGACAGATGTATCGTGACAACACCTACCCCAGGCTAGCCGGCGGATCTCTTCCAGCGGGCTGGAAACGTTGAAACGTGGGATGTAATGCGGGATCGAGACAGTGGTGATGCGTTCCCACCGTATATACTCATGTGGAGTAGGAGCCTCTGCATGTAAACCGATTGCGGGCCAACCATAAGAGGACAACTCTTCAGTTCAACGCTTCATCTTTCTACAATGCCTCCAAAACGGTGCTTCAAAAGAGGTTTACAAGTTTATTCCGTCGTCAGAAGCCGACTACCGACTAAAGGCGACCGACCCTGACCCACAGCCAAGACGGGGAAGAGCCGTGGCCACAGCTGGCCTGTCCGTTTTGCGCACCGCCGTCGAGATAGGTACCTTGCCTCGTTTGAACTCGACAGCAAGAATATTTCCGTGACACACAGTAATATCAATCCCAGGATCGAATGCGACCTCGACTACCATCCAGGGTCCAATGAGGAGCACGAGTGTGAAAGAGGGACGATTTGGAACGGAATTGAGGGAGACCAGGCGTCAAAGGAGGAAAAGGCACCTTACTGAAAGCATCTTGGCGGCACAGACAGCATCGACTCAATTCCGCTGTGGTAGCATTGCTCAGCATCCACCCACTCATCCGGTCGCGCAGCAATCTGCTATCAACACCCCCTCCCTCATCTTGGGGGCCCTGAGCTTGGGGCTCAAAAAGATTTTTGCCCCGTCACGCATTGCAATCTTCCACGGGTAAAATGCCCAGAACATGCGCCTGTGGGTGAGGAAGGCTTGACGTGGAGGAGGCACACTTCATCGCGCTCGCTCACTTGGGATTATATGGTACAGCAAGCAGCAATTAAGCTCGCGATACTCTGTGGTCCTCACTGAAGACCGTCAACGTCTACATGCACTCGGCGATAGCGGATATTCAATAACGAGTTGCATCGACCACCCCGATATGTGCTAGTTGCAGGCGGCGAACGAGGAGCGACGCCTGAGCGAAAATTGGAGAAGTCTGCTGTGGACGGAAAAGGTGGGAATGACATCAGCTCGTGGACTGATTTTCCCCAATGACCCGAGGCTGTGTTTCTCTTGGCTGGCTTCCCGTCCTCCAGCTTTTGGAGAACCCTTCGTCCAGGCCGCTGGAATTCGCGCTGTTGGTTGCCCGAAGCTGCCGCCGCGAGGACGACAATTGCTTGGTGTTTTTGTCTCGGATGCCGACAATGGGTCTCGGTCCAAGTCTTCAACAGATTGAACCAAACGAGGTCCAGCTCAACCAGCATGGGTCGGCCCCTCACTACAAGCAATTGGGGCTAGGATGCTGCGAAAAGCACATGCCGAAATGGCTAATGGGATGGGAGCCTCTTTTCTCCTCACAGAGGCTGCACATCACTACCCTCTCGGTAGTTTGGCCTCCGTTTCGTCTGAAAGACGGGATATCTGGTTGGCTCACGTTTTCAATAGCGTACCTGCTTTGCTTACCTTCGTCCCATGCTCTGACGAACAGCACTGTAATCAATGGGATGAGGAGGCGGCGGAGGAAGACAGAGGCAAAGGACAGTAAGGAAACCGGATCCTACTTCGCACCACTGCGGGCTTTTCGATGTCATTTACAATGGGCTTCCTAGACCAGGGCCAAGGCGGTCTCCGACGAGGAGTCTGTGGTCACTCCACCATGCACCCATCCAATTCACCACCACCACCCGACATTGCACCCAAAATAATGAATCTAAAATGGAGCCTCCGTTTAACCCATTCCCAATTCGACCCCCGGTTCGGCCGTCTCTGGGCTTTAAAGATCGGCCC